AACTAACATCACAAGAACTATATGGCAGACAGTTAGGAGAGTAACTAATGAGATCTTGGGAGTTAAAGGGTTAATGTTCCAAAGCCTTATGCAGTTTCTATCTACCAATGTAGAGGGGAAAAAGGAAAAAGTGCAATGTCCCAGTGTACCGTCTTTTACGTGCAACTTGTAAACTGGTGATGAAGTAGAATTCTATCGTAATTTTTAATTTGGATGCGTTACTGAATATTAAAAGAAGCACATGAACAGGTTATTCTTGATGGTGTATTTACCCATCTTTGCAGGAGCCTTAAACCATCAGACGACACATCACCTGTTCCCAGGCGTCAGTCAGATATACTATCCTCAGATTACTCCCATTGTCCGTAAAACGTGCAAGGAGTTTGGAGTGAGGTACAATTACAAGGAGACATTCTTCCAAGCGCTTGGGTCGCATATCAACCATCTCAAGACATTGGGGCAGGAAAGAGAAAAACCAACATTTGCTTGTTCAAGGAATGACTGATTTTGATGAATAGCTCTCAGAAGAACGTTTAATGTTTCTTGGAATCCCTAGAAGTTTCAAGAGCTGTTCTGTTGTCTTTGCTTTCACCGAGTTCGTCTTATAGGGAAGTTGTGGCCGACCTTTCCATAAAGGCCTTTTTGCTCAAGCCTAACATTCCTTTCTATTTTATCGTTAAAGCCGGTTACCGTCGTAGAATTGTTGAACGGAACTTCGTGAGATTCATCGATGTTGAATTTATCACGTGGAGATCAACCCAGGGGTTGGTCTCCAGGTGGGGCAGGTGAAGCTAGTCATCAACAATACTCCGAGAAGGAAGTAACCATGGTAACCCTGTCAGCGGTTACCATCAAATCAAAGTTTCACTGGACCAGTTTGTTATGGTGTCAGAAGAATCTCTAGCACTCCTTGTACAGTTGACGCTTTCTTTATTTCCTCTCTTAAAGACTCAATATAACGTGCTAGCTCGAGGACTAACTTTACCCTCTCTAGGAAAGTGATGGCCTCTAGCTTATTAAGGTGGGAGTTATCTAGCTGTCAATATTTGACCAACGTCACTGTTTCTCACTTAGTTAGCGAATCATGTTGAGTTACATAAAACAGTTTACGCATACTAAGTATGTACCTGCTGTTTGTTGATTCTTTCCAAAACGTCTTTTGACCTAAAATTCCATACTTTTGCGGATTGGACAAAACAAAAACAAGATTGATAGTAAGAATATTATGACTGACCTATTGTACAGATTAGAATTACACTTAAAAAGATGACTGAAGAGAAAATAGCCCTTGAAGTTTGTTTCATAACAGCGATTAACAGAGAGTTTGAGGAAGAAAGGGCGAACCCAAGGTACCGCCCCCAAAAGAACCACTTGTCGTTCATATGAGTTACTGATTATAAACTCAGCGTGGAAGATGAAAAGTACGGGTTGTTTACACTCTAAGTCATCTTACAGAAAGAGTTGTTGAACGTGCTAAATTCAAAATTAAGAATTATTTTCTTGATCGGGAGTTCGACATGAAATTAATCTAAAAACGAGCCTGAAAAGAATCGAAAGAAAAAGGAAGGAGGAATTACCAGGAAATTCCAGTACGAGATTAACTTTTACCCGATCAAATTACTCTCATATTCATCAAGCGGATTATCATAATTGAATTAAATCTTATTGCAAGATGATTTAAATATTTTATCGCAAGTTCCAATTACCGTAGAAACTGAACATCTATTTTCATGTCAAACTCGCGATAAGAGAAAATGCGATAATCGCCAACAGCCTGATACAATCATTGTGGAGTTAGATGGACTATTTTCTCCCGGAAAGAAAAGATAACAACTACTCTACTTACAAAGTAAGATCTCCATCGAAATAGGAAATTATCAACTGCTTACAATATTTTTTTAACTGAATGGCTTATGCTAATATGCTATTTGCACTCATATTCCCAACACCAAGACACGGTTTTGAAAACTTCCTTAGTAAACTAAAGGGGTAAACGGATTAGTTAAAAAAAGTCACTTTATCACTAGGTTGTGGATGCTGTATTTAGCACTGAATATGTTGTAGATACTTAACTTCTAGGGAATAACGGTATTTTATCTGTATGTGTGTGTAAGTTGTCAAAAATTAGATCATTGTCGTGTGATTGACGAGTGTCGTTTATAAAGTGTTTCATTTCTTTTTTTTACACACCTTGCGGTGCTTAAAAACAGAGATTCTGGGTATTCAAATCTTCTGTACATTCATCTTTTTCCATCATCAGAATTAAACTGAAGCGTAGTGATTTAAAGGTCTGTGATACCCTTGTCCTTGCAGTGTCCATTGCGAAACTTTTCATCTAAACCGTACGAGTGACTTAGTAGCCGTGGATGGAAACATTTCGGCGTTTAACCTTCCAAAGTTTCTTCTTCTGTTTTATTTTTATGGTTTACTAAAAACTTCAGCGAAGTCTTAACACTCGCGTGAGTGCGTTTCACTTCTACCTCAATCAAGAGATCTTTCAGAAGAAGGACCTTTAGTCGATTTCGTAGAAAATTTACGCATAATTTCTATATAAGAATACACATAAGACATTTCTATTCCCCCAACCAAGAATGCGATCTTGATTTAAACCTTTTATTTTTTTGATCAAAAAGTAAAGTACATCACTCTGAGTCACTTCAATTTGCGAGAGCTTCCATAAAGATTGGCACTGAAATCCTTTCAGAATTGTATGATGTCATTCTACATTCGTTTGATCGCCATAATCGCGGGAGAGATCAAATAGAATTAAGAATCACTTAAAGAGATCCTGCAGATTCATATTTAGAAGAATTAGAAGATTTCGTATTTCGTAATGAACATTATTCCCGACAATGTAGAGAGGGTTGTAGATGTCGAAAGAGATTTAAAAAGAAACCATTCTCAGAGGAATACCCAAAGAAATTCCTATGGAGATCCTTCGGATTGTGCAAGATCACTGTCCCATGGATCAACAATCGTAAACTTGACATTTACGTTGTCATCAAATCACTGCCTAGACATAGAAAATTTATAGAGGGTTTACATTTGTATCACGCCGGAACTCTCTTTCAGTTTGCGTTTCATTCATTCTTTCTTTGGTATTTCATGGGTAGTTTTCAACAGGGGTTTCCATGAGAAATTCGGATTCGAACGAGCCGATAACCCAAAGGAGATCATGCAAATTTTGCACTTTTCACACACTCGTAAGGATTCTTTTTAGATTATTTGTGTACATTGGAGTGGAGCACGAGACACCATTTTATCCTGTTTGGAAAGCATGCAAGCCTTTCTTTTAGAAAATTGGCATGCTAGTGTCAGATACATTCTCATTGAATTTGAGGGTATTTTATTTATTCCACCAAATGTGCTCAGTAATTCTGAAGAAGAACGAACCAGATTGTCTATTTTACAAACTGTGTAAGTGAATCTTTCTATCCACCCATATTATCAGTGTTTGCGTAAAGAGAATATGAATGAGATGGGTTGAAAGTGTACACGATATTAATACTTATTCTGTGATGGTTTGGTTTGTTAATCTTATTTATCTTGCACGAGCTGAATTTTTATAAGAGATAACTGACAATGGCGCGATGACGTCCCATTTAGGGTAATTAGGGGTTTTAAAAAGAAAAAGCTGTTTTGTGCGGCTCATTCTTGTGTGATGTCCGTTTCCTCACTTTCGGTGGCATCATTTCCGCTCGTGTCATCTCCAGTGAGGTCACTTCCACTCCTTACCATGGTTAGTTGGTAAATCATGATTTTTTTCAAGTTTTGGGGGTGTCCATTTACGCCTTGTAATTAGTCAACATGAGTCACGTGGTACAAAATACTGCTCTGTGATTGGCTAGGACCCATACCACCAAGTCCATCACGTTTTTCAAGTGGTGCGAAAATTAAACGGTAGACTGCCCATCACTTTCTATTAGGCTGTGGATCGATTGGCAGACGCATTTTGCACTGTTCAACGTTCTTGCGGGAATATGTCGGGAAAGAGGCAGTTTACTTGGCAAGAGCTTGCCAGTTTGAATCTGGAACATAATGCACACATCGCAATTAACGGGAAGGTAAGAAAGGCATCGCGAGGTCCTTACTATATAATTTCGCTTAAACTTCAACTACATGCATCCAATATTTCGTGATTAACGAGGGACGCTGATTCTTTGCTGCTGAAGTACATTCCCCAAAATGGGATTTGGAAATCATTTTCGATCAAAATGGAAGTATTGCAGTTGGATGTTTGCAAAGTTCTTTTTAAAGCACTGTCGAACGAGTTTTGACCATCATATCTGAATATATCTTTACTATGTAATTTCGTTTAACTTCAATTACGTCCACGCAATATTTCATGATTAACGAGGGACACTGTTTTTTTGCTGCTGTAGTACATCCCCAAAATGGGGTTCGGAAATCATTTTCGGTCAAAATGAAAGTATTGCAGTTATGTGTTTGCAAAGTTCTTTTCAAAGCACTGTCGAACGAGTTTTGACCACCATATCTGAATATTTAACACACTTTATGGTTGATTGAATTCAAAGCTCATACGTGTATGTATCATGGGCTCCATTTAGGCCAGTCACGTCCTACCGCCTTCTGTTTAGCCTGAAGGCAGGCTGTCGTGTTTAAGTTTCGCCTTAGGTCCCCTTCCGCGGCACGGCCGCGTGTTACACCATCATCAGCCGAAGTTGTTGAAGCCCCGGTGAATATCGATCTCCCGCATGGAATCAAGCATTTGCATGTCGGCAAGCTCATGAACCACCAACGCATCACGATATTTGCTAATGTTTCGCTGGACCCAAACTTCCGATGAAGAACGGACTTGTTCAAGAAAACAAACAACAGAAAATAAAAGATTTAGTTGAATTTGCTGTACAGGCGAAGTGTTTCGTTGAGACAT